AGACTGTTTCTACAACGATTTCGTCAGTTTAACGAATTATCTTGGTAGCATAGAGGTTCTCTACTCGTACCTACGGATTCTCTACAATGAAATTCTCCCCACAACGAATTTCTTCTGGCTCCCTTTAATTTTATTGTAGAGATAGTCCACCTGCATTTAATGTCATCTCATTATATGACGTTTTACGATTTAAAGCTGACGGTATGATTTATTCTGAATGACGCAATACAGGTGGACTTTCGCTACAACGAAATTATCTGTATTACGAATTTTTTTTGGTCCCCCTGAATTTCGTCGTAGAGAGTTGTTTGCCGTAATTTAAAATCCGAGACATCATCAGACATGGGATGGCATCAAACACAGATGGACGATCATCTCCACAACAAAATTCAGAGGACCAAAAGAAACCCGTTGCACAGAGAATTCGTTGTACGGACCCCGATGGAACTAAAAAAAAAAAAGCTATACATTATGGACGAAATTTAACGGACCAGAGAAAAATCGTTATAGTGAGAATTCCGTCGAAGAGAACCCGTATAACATGAGAAGAGAAACCCATGGGATCACACACACACACAAAAAATTCGCTGACCGATTGATCAGCAAGCTTTATTTTCCGCTTTTCAGCGTTCACAAGGTTCAAGCAATGTTACCACACACACACATCCCCTCCCCTCATGAACAGCACGCAAAAATTCTCTACAACGAAAAAGTCGTTGTAGAAAAAATCGTCTTGAAGAGTGTCTACCTTAAAAAAAAAAAAAAAACTCTGATGTCCATTTCCGCGAGAAAGTTCCTTCTATTCCATCTCATACACGGCATCCTTTTCGCGACGATGATGGCAAAACAAAGAATATCATGCCCCCTCAAAACAAAAAAAATGTGTTTCCCGAAAAAACAAAGTCGCGTCATTTGAATTCAGAACGAAGTCGAAACGGGGTGAAAAATAAGAAGACCGAGGATTTTCCCCCGCTCAACTCGTGCACCCCTGGCAACGGTGGGTGGGAATCCGAGTAGCTGCGTGGATTCCCCAATGCGCATTCCTAATACCCCCCACAGTCCGGGATAAGCCTGCTCACACATGCTAACGACTACGGACACTCTTCAAAGTCATGCACAGCAAGCACGACTGGCTGGCTTCACTTCGTCAACATGTGCGAACGTGGAAAGCACTTCAACACTGGCGGACTCTCGAATCGAATAAAAGATGAATACAGTACGAGGGTTCTAACAAAAGTTCTCAGAATAGGAATTCAAATGACGCACAATCTAGCTGACAAAAAAATTATTCTTTAGGAAAAACATATTCTTTGACACACACTAAGTCAATTTTTTTGAATGTTTTGCAAAGTTCACCCTGGCAGAGTTTTGCTCTTCAATCAAAGGATGATGCACCCTTCCTGAATTTTTTTTTTCTTGTTGTAGCCCAGCTTTCCCCTCAGAATTCTTGAAATCAACGTGGCATTAATTCCAAGGATTGCCTCCAGGTCTTTCAAGGCAATTCCACCATTTTCATCAACAGCCGTTTTCACAGTAGCCAAAGTGGCGGCTGTTTTTTTTATTATTTAAAGGTTTTTTCATTATTCGCATTCGTCACATTCACGCCCGTTTTGGTCAATTTTTCTTTCCTTGTCATTTTTACGCCAGTTTCGGTTTATTTTGCGTTTCTTACAGAAAAATGATTTTCTGACAACAGCAGTCCCAACTTATGAGGCATAAACTTGATAAAATACGGTAGTTACGGATAACCCCAAAAATGTAAACTGGCCCACTTCCTATATGGAACATGTGAAGTAGCACTTCAATTGAGATTACGCAGTTGTCAAAATATGCATACTCAGATCTTGAAAATGGGAAGTCTGTAGGGATAGTTTTCGTTTGTATTTGCCACTTCCCACTTGAAACACGAAAAACAGCACTTCTTCTATGAAGATTACGCATGGTTCACTTCCAGATTTTCCAAATAAAAAATGAAGGCATTCTCTGGAATACGCCTTTTATTTTAGAACTGTACAAAAACGTAAATGATGACCGAAGTTTTAATTTGCGTCCACAATACTTTACGCCCATTTAGGTCGATTTAATGTACTTCTCTTTCGGAAAATAGACTCAATAAAAATAAATAAATATTGAAACAGATTCAATTCACACATAGGACACGCAGCACTTTCGTGGGGACTAAATACAGTACTTTTTTTCAATCTTCAATCTCGAAATTTTTGAATGTGAAAATTTCAAGAGCAAAATTGCGTATGACCAGCTTTCTAAACTTCTTCGGGATGCGACTTGGATTTTTTTCAAATACAGTACTGAATAAGGAATGCAGTCCACAAAGGTGATCATCGCCGTGAGAGAGTTTCCATTTGCATTTGCTGTACTTGTACTGCGCGTGTCGTTTGACATTATGAACCCTCTCAACGATTGGCCTCTAGGATTTCAAATTTACGACATTCCAAAAGTAAAAAAAAATGAAAGACTCTCGTTATTTCCTCATAGACACAGACATCCTGAAAAAGAGAGAAAGAAACGAACCCCCTCTCGAAATTCACGAATGAATCCCCTCAATAGTCTCAATACTACATCGAAGTGCCCGTCGAAGCACAAATATCCAAATGTTTCTCGATGTGTCGACGCGTTACACACGTGAGAATATTCCCATTTCTTGCCTCTCTCTCTCTCTCTGCGACAGATGCGACACGAGAGATTGCATATTTTTAAAAGGGACCCCAGAGGCAAAATGGCTCTCGAGCACGAACTGTCAGCAAGTGACGTAAGGATTCATCGGAAATCATTGTCTCCTGAAGAGCTTCAACTCGTGGCAAACCTCGGAGATGAACAAGAATGCATCTCAAGCAACAATTCACTTCGAATGGAACACTTCGTGATTTTCGCGTCCGAAACAGATGCTTTAAAAAAAATACATATTCCATTATGTTTTTTCATTCAGTGAATAATCTTGAGCAGCTGTACAAGACATGGTTCTGTATTCGCACGAACGCGGGAAAGAAGCGTCCCATTGATTTCCTCGATAATTATTTTGCACAATTGGTTCAATATTTTAAAACCCAGCGTTAATAAGAGGGTGGGACAAAACCCCTCATAAAAATATCGTTACTGCGAATTTCTAGATACGGTGAATTTTTTCAAGGTCTGGCCAAACGGACAAAAATATAAATACTTTCTACTCTTCGGTAAAACGAATTTTTCAGCATTTCTGCTGATAATTGAGTAAACAGTTTTTGACTGGAGAAATTGCGCTACTGCATTTCCGCAACGATGGAAATTTCTTTCCTGGTCTTACACATAAGCAGTTTCCATGCGCCTGAATTTACAACGTCTTTTGAATGATTATAAAACATTTTTCCCCAAGAAATAGCGCACAAAATCAGGCTGCAAATAATACTCCACTGCACTTTAATGCGGCATACCGTCGAGGAAATGCAAGAAAGTATAATACTGTACTGACTTGAGCCTCTCCAATTCAAATTTGAACGGACTTGAAAAATAAGTTACTCGGGAAGTATTTCAGTCGGAGGATGTGGTCAGATTATTGGAGATTAATGAATTAAAATCATTTCGAGGCGCAATTATTAAAAGAGTCAAACATTCTTAGGTGCCCTAACCTCAGAGAGTTGCCAAATCCCTTCCGAAAGCATTAAAATTTTTGCATTCATTCCGGATCAGGTGATCTAAAATTTAGCCTCATTTCAAAAGTACAAAGGCAATGGAAAATTCGACTACACACTAAGTAGGGATTTTAGGAAGCTTAGAACCGAAATTTTCTGAGTAAAGGAAAAATTAAAATTGGCCTCAACGGGATTGCGCAGGGATTTGCCGAAAATGTGAGTTAGAGATACTTTTGAATTGAAAGACGTTGGACTGTGGTTCAAAATCAAAATTTCGTCGGGGTATTCTCGAAAGTTATTCTCAACATGAATCACGTCGCAGTATAGTATCAAAGTTCCTCACAAAGACTAGAGAGATAAAAAAAATATATATACCGTAAAAGGAAGTACGGTGTTTAGGTCACAGGGGTCACGAAAGACCCTCTTCTTCACTAACCGTGTGACGTCAGAAAGAGAATAATCGCCGTGCTTTGCAAGGACCGCCAACGGCCCATTGCACACGGGAAGCAGTGCAATGGATACCCATTTATACCTGTTTTCATCTCTGACACCTCGCAAAAACCTTTTGCACGAGGGCATTCCATGCAAGGAACCTCCTCGAAGTACTGTACATACAGAAATCACTGCAAAACTTTTGCCAACTTAGTGTAGAAAAACTTTTTATTTAGTTACAACTTGTTATCTGCAGTCAAGCGAACGCACTGAAAAAAATGCACCCGACGAAAAATAAATAAATAATAGTTTCTGTTGTTTCATGAGTGGATGCCATTTTTGATATCAGATCCGTTTTTCGTTTCAAACGTGCGATTTTCGTCGATTGAGCGCATATTCATCCGGACTTGAGATTGTTTCGCCAATGCCAATAACCACGTGATCCAAAATAATTCAAATAACTTGATCGCAATTTTCATTCGTATCAGATGTTACAACAGTTGGCATCAAGTGCTACGATTTTCGTGGCATATTTTCCATTATACCTATTTTTTTTTCGGCAAGTCGAAGTAGAAAGTCAAGGACAGTTATGCCCCGCGAAAACACCCCCTCAATAAAACTTGAACTTTCTCAACGGAAAATGGAATTTTCTATATGTTCTCATTCCCGCTAAGGAAAAGTAGATGATATTTTGGTCTTTCCGCACGCCTTTCAATAAAATACTTTTTTTTTACTATTTCTTCTATGGGACTAAAATGACCAATTTTTTGAAATTTTCACGCCGTGGATAATTCACATGAAGAAGCTACACTGTTCCACACATTCCACCGCACGCATAAAAGTGGAAATGACTAAAACGTCAAGACAATGCTTTCCCCCAAAGCCAACGAAGCACAGCATCGTCTCAGAGAAGTTCTACAACTTCTTGTACAGTACAATGTTTCAGTTGAAATTTCCGCGGATTTCCGACGTCAGTGACGAGTCTTTCCATGGAACATAAATATCGGCTTTCCCTTGGGAACACGAAGTAGCAGATATTCAAACCAGTGCTTTTCACTGGTACTTGAAAAATTGCAGGAACATACTGGACAGTACTCCCGATCGAGCAGCTGTCCGACACATTGCTGAGATCCTCTTATGATAATCCTCGGAGCCCCCGAAAGCTCTTCGGCCACTCCACATAGAAAATTTGAAGAAAACACACAGGGCAAGGAATTAATAATAATAATAATAATACGGAATCAACTGATGATTACGCAAGGAAAATAGACGCAAAATATTCAAGAAACCGCGAATACCAGCAAAAATATTAAAATCATCAACATTGTAGAAAACTTGAAAATATTTAAAAGAGCTCCGCCACACTTACTGATTTTAAAAGGAGCTCCAAAATTGAAAAAAAAACACCGTCATTCAAATGGTCACAGAAACCTGCGTGACTAATGAACGTGAAAATCCTTCTTTTTTCAGATTGACAATGTGCTTTTCCCGACTCCTTATGAGGCAAAACTTGGGGACTCGAAGTGGGAGGCTGTGGGAAAGTTGCTTAAAGTTAAATATTTTACGGCAAAGTGAACTTTTTAATCTGCCTTAACGTTTAAATTACGAAGCATTCCCCTGTAAAATGAGATACATTCATTCCTTTTCGTCACAAAAAACGAAACAAAGGGGCCTCTTCATAAATCAAAGTGAATAAAAAAATATTCCCCACACCTTCATCACTTCCGACACGCACATTGAAAAAAGGACGCCACCACAACCACACAGCCAGCCAACGAAGGAAGCACTGCACCAAAAACATTTCATTTTTAGTCCGTATAATTTTTGAAAATTCAACGGACTTCGGATTTTATCAACGCATTTCCCTGTGGGAATAAAATATACTTCTTTCTTCGAGAAAAAAAAACAAGTGACCCCTTTATAAATCGAAGCGCGTGAAAAAATATTCCGCACTCTTTCATCCCTCCCCAGCACGCACAGTAAAAAAAAAAAAAGGACGCCACCACAACCACATCAGCGTCAAAGCCAGCTAAACACCGCACCATCTCCCATAGACCAGCACCATCACCACCACCAGAAGATTTTGGTCGGAGAATGAAAAGAAAATATATGGAGGGGAACCAAAAAAATGTTTTCTTCACCATCATCCGCGTGGATCAGCACGGGGGCGTCCCGTCGCCCGCACCGCCTCAAGTCGCTCACGTGCACCCGATCAACATCCTCGCCCATCATCACGTGCCCCACCAACGGCGCCGCAGCACCAGCAGCACCACCACCAGGCCGAAGCCTCGTCCTCAATCCCGACAACATCCCGTGGTGCCGCTCCCGACGCTGCTCCGCCACAATCGTCCGCCGTCGCACCGCCAACGCTCGCAACAACAAATCACTACACACGTCCGTCATCCCTTCGCCGACATCGTCGTCTTCATTCTCGTCGTCATCACCACCGCCGCCATCGTGGGCGCACTTGACCTTGCGCCAACTCCGCGTCTGCTCTTCTTCCGCCTCCTCCTCCTCGTCATAAATCGCCTGGTCGTCGTCGGCGCTGCGGAACCGAGCCAAGAGTTTCCGCGTCGTCGTCGCCGCCTTCGCTTTAGATGACGACGTCGTCGGTTGCACTAGAGGGACACCAGTGGCGTCCACGGCGACCATTTCAAAGGACTCGGCGTTGACGGGAAGTGACATGGAGCGGGCAGACGAGCGGACGAGGGCCAAGAGATTCCCGTCTTCTTCGTCGTTCAAGTCCTCGCTGTCGTCGTCTTTATTATTGTGGTGACGGAGTTGCGGCAGCTGGAAGCGCTTTTTGCGACGCGGCGGTGCGACCGGTGGACAGCCATTTTCTTTTACACCGGGGTTCAATGCAGACCCTGGGTCCGTAGCGACCCCGTCTTTGTTCTGTTTTTTTTTCCAAAACCGGCCCGAATATCGCGAACGTCGCCGACAAGGTTCATTTCAGAAAGAAACGTAAAAAAGAGAAACGAAAACAACATAAGTGAAACGAAAACAAAACGAAAGCGCATGTGCCGTGTTTCTCAGAAAATTGAGACTTATGGAATTTGTTTCAAAATCCAAGTATCCAATGATACAAAGGTAGAACCGTAGAATCTATCCACAAAGATTTCCTCTGTATAAGGCTTTCATCGTGCCATTAAGGGTTCTCTACAACGAAATCCTCTCTACACTACAGTAAAGCTATTTTTTTCTAGTCCACTAAATTTCGTTGTAGAGGAAGTCCACTCGCATTCATTCCCTACTCTTGATACGAGGGTTATCCAGGTCACAAAAAATCTCGAATTTTCGTGAAGAATGTCGAAAGACGCATTTTATTTTCAGTCTATACAATGAAACCTCGATAAGCGCCACCATTTGTTGGCGTTCTCATTATTCTAGAAAGCAATCAAAATAACCCTGAGATACATGAATTATATCTAGATAATGTTCCCCAGAAGTAAATTACGTTATCTGTGCGTGTGTTTTCGAGCTTAGGTTTTTTTTTTTACAATTTCATGACGTGACAATATTTGCATACCACCTCTGTTATACCCACATATCAAAGAGATACCACGTATCTGCTTCTTTGACTCTCGGTCACATAAAAAGGATTTATTTTTCATGATTCACCTTCAAAATTCAAATTTCATACTGTGCTAAGATGTCTTCCATGCTAATTTGTATCTCCCTTCACTGTAAATATGAATTTTTTTTACTTTTTATACAGTATTGTATTAACTTTACCTTAAAAAAAAACTTGCGTACCGCATGACACGGTTTCCCGGGTTCGCTTCGTTAAAAATTCCTGTCGTAAAATAAGTGTATATCCATTAGCAAACCCTTGATCTTTCCAAGATTCTCAATGACCTTTTTCAGCATTCTCAAAGAACTCTCCCTCCTACTCGATCTTCATTTTTTACAACTGATTGGCATAAATATAATGGTCTCATTTTCAAAGAAAAGCGGCAGCATACGTAACAAAGCATCACCATAAATATGAAACATGAGAACAAAGGGGGGAAAACTCTGTAACGCTGAAAAAAAAATCAGTAAAACCTAAACAATGACACGTTCTCGTTTTTGAAGCCTCTCATCAAAAGCAAGGATTCTCCTCACTTTTGTCTTAGATTTAATCAAAATGTCACGAGTAAACGCGAAATAATCGGTTGGTAGACGAGGCTCTTCTTGATAAGATCCTTCATATATGAAACCAAGCATCACGGAAATTTTGCTTGACGCATGTTCTGAAACACGTTTTTTGTTCCAAGGATGATTATTTCAGAAAACCATCGTAAATATCACTACAGAATAAAATAGCTGTTCAAACAGCTATCCTTGTCTCATTCCTTTCTCGAAAGAAAGCAGGAACTTCATTTATCCTTCTGAAAATCTGTTCAAGCTTCGCAGCCAAAAAATAATGCGATGGAAAAATGCGGAGGAGCGAGATTGGCCCAAACTCGAGCTTCACGTTCAAATTAGTTCTAGAGCGTCTTTAGAAGAAGAAACGCTAAAAAAAATGCTGGTAATTTTCTATTAAAAAAAAAGTTGACGGAGCACCTGAAAAGGTTTCCCCGCCGAAAAAGAAAATATTCCTCTCGCTTCCGCTCAACCCAATACTGAGTACGGTATTGTATTCGACTGGCACGAACTTCCATACGATTCAAAAATTCATTTCTCAACTGAACTTCACCGTGATCTTTAAAATTAAATGCATAATTTCGGATTTCCCGTCAAAGTAAAGAGCATCCTTACAATAATGATCAAATACAGTTAAATCTCGTTGCAAGGATGCAATTGATGCCAGTAAAATACTGTAGTTTCATTACAAAGAGACAAAAATTATATTGTGGCTATTGGTCAGGGATCTAAAAAACGAAATCTTTGCTATGAATTATCCGTCAAAAGGAGATTATTCGTAACGAGATTCCAGTATCCTAAACTTCATGCAGAGCGTTATGTCAATTAATCAGTCAAGTAGAGGAAAATAAAGCGGCGCCATTTAATGTAAAGAGTTCAGCAAGACCTGTTTGTTTGAAATCAACAAATCAAAATCTCGGAAGGTCTATTGGTGGTGACCCGATAAATGAGAATTTTACCGTCATTTAAACTACCGTGCAGAAACTTTCCGCATCAGCCCACAAAATGAAGATCCAACCGAGTTCAGCTTTAAAAAAAACATCGAAAACCACGGCGATTGATGAAAATTCTGAGATCTGAAAACCCGAATTGCGTTTGTAAAGGGATGGAATACGAGTACTGTACAGCACACACAATGCATACATACATGCGCATCTCAGGCGCGCTCATATGTTAATGGAAAAACCGGGAGAGGTTGGAATAGTGATGGATTGCATGTCGGTGCGTGTATGTCTGTCTGTCTCTGCAAAAAAAACGCAACATAAAAAAAAAAGAACAACGAGGTCAACCGAGCAGAAACGCGTCAGAAACCGAAGCCCGAGGCAGGGAATACAAGAACGACGATCCCGCGGGTCTTTTTATTGGAAAATAATGTCCCACGCCGGCCGCAAATGGGGATAGGAGAGCCGAGAAGGAGAGCGGAATGCTGAAAAGGAAGAAGAAGAAGAAGAGGACCCCGGCTCCGTTTGAGCAATCACATCGCCCCGCCCGAGAAAATTAAATCTCGACCCCCCCCCCCCTCTTTTTTTTCTCCACCCCCCAGAGGCAGCACAAGATTGACGTGTTTGAGCACTATCTCAAGCACCGCGGTCTCGGGAATCCTTTCCGCACCCGCCGACCCACCCTGACCAAACAAACTGACAACCACACAACTGAGCGCAAACCCCCAAGTGTTGCGAGAAATCGTCTCAACTTGTCGTTCATCGAGATTTTTAGAAAGAGACCAGGAAACACCGAAGTCGGTTTTCAACTGCCGCATTCTTTGTTTCTTGGAATGGCTTTGAATTAACACTTGAAACTCAAGAAGGCTGCGGGTAAAAAATAAGAAGTAGAGAAGGTTTCATATTTTAAGAAAAACATTGAATCATCATTTCTCACGCACTTCTCATCTGTTGTTCTGTCAATCTATCTTCCCATTGTTCGGAGTTTGTCCTCAAGATCAAGCGTCTTCATGCCTTAATTTTTAAATAAATCTCGATTTTATTGACTGTTGAGCAAGCAAGAAGCTGATGCGACAAAATTTAGTGACAGATAAGTAATTATAGTAGTAAACAATGACTGAAAGACTTCAGTCACAATTCACAACTCTGCCTTTTCAACATGACAAGCTTGAATAAATTCACACAGAGCAATTCATGGATGGACAGGCTTATTACTGTTACATTATTCAGATTTCTGCACTTGTTGACAGAAAATAAGTTGTGGCAGATTTTTACAACATTTTTCCTTGATCTGCAAAAATTACAGTAATCAATTGGATCTTCGTTAACGCGACTAGGATGCAATTTCTGACCACTGACAATCTTTTTCAAAAAAAATATGTGGTGCAGGAACAAAAGCTTCATACGCTGTGCAGTATTACAACGTAAAAAGGGGTGCCAAGTCACATCTGCGCAAAAAACCTGAGCTATTCTGACACACACAAAATGATGGCACTGTACGGAGAGCATTACTTGAGAGGAAACCATTGTAAGGACAACCAATTAATATGGTAGAAAGGAGAGCCTCTACGGAAACAAGGTTTCTTCTGATCCCTTGCAAAACAGCACGATTTCATTCAACAGGGATATCCCCAATGATGCCCAATCACAGTCAAAGTATGTATTTTAAATTTAAAAGTGACTGAGAAAATGGTAGCATGTTTGTTTCTGACTGGAATGTTGGCATAAAGTGTTGTGTCAACTGAAGCTGCCGCTCAGTTGTACGGCTCCCTTTTGACCCAGCACCCCCACATCCCATTTCGGGCATATCCTTGTGCTCGAGGGACGCTGTTCGTTACGTTCCATTGCCATTCACCTTGCCCACCCAAAAAAAAAAACCGCATGCAATGTTCGGAATATCAAATTCACTCAAATATACAATGTTTTTTCTTTCGTGCGCGCCAAAAAATGGCTTTTAAAAATCGGGACGCTACTTACATTTAATAGTTTCTTACACTTGCATGAAAATGATCAGTTACAACTTTACAAGAAACTCAAACCTTTGGCGGCTGGTTTCATTCCTTATGCGTTTTAAGTTGCAGTTAATTCCGTTTTTCCGTGCATTAAAGCCGTTGATTTGACGAGAAAAATTGCACGTTTATCCTTTTGATGCAGCTAAATTCCACATAGTTTTTATCTCAACATTATTCCGTAACAGCTTTTAACAGACAGTAAATCTTGGGATGTAAAGCATTTATGCGAATATAAGCATAAAATTAATGTAAAATTAATAGGGAACATACGCACCCACTTACTTTCCTGGTGTCATGACTTTCGAGGAACCCAAAATTTCTGACCGTAACATATAGAGAAATTCTCATCCGAATATTTTTCTTCGAGGTCATACTACTTGAATAATAAATAGGAACTGTTGAATATTTCGATTGCTCCTTTGGCCTGGAAAACGGTGCTTATTTTCACGCAAATCGCAAGAATGTGCAAACATAAGCGCTATTGTTATTTTTGAGCTTCTAAAAATGTAAAATGGGTGCCTAAATTCGCGTAAATATCGTAAGGTAATTGTAACAAGTTCCAACTCGATATTTAGTCAATTTGCGACAAAAGAAAATGCTGAAAACTATGCAGAAAATTTCAAGGCATGAATGAAACTGACGATACAATATTTCTGCATCTTCCGTAAACGTTGAAACGCTCAACTCTAACTCAAATAAGTATTCCTCAAAATTTACAAGGAGAAAAGTGACAGTAAAAACAAATAATTTACTCCTGATATACAAGTACAGTAGCTACAGATGACCCACCAACAGACTTCTCTGATCATCTGAA